TTAGCATGTTTTGTTCAAACTTTCGCCATGGCATTAGAACTGGTACACCGTTGTCGAAAACACAATGACGGTGCCGTGGGTGGAAACTTACAGATTAAGGGGCGGTGCCGGTGATATTATCCTTTGCCACGTTTGCCACGTCACCAGGGGAGCGAAATCAGACCCGCTCGTTTTCTCAGATGCTTGCAGAACTAAAACAAATAAAACAAAGTTACTGGGTTAATCTTTTTCACATTTCCTTGGTTGGTAGATGTACCGGGGACCTGATTAGAGCTCTTAAAACCTGGAAAAGTCAGATTTTCATGATATGTCACCTTTAAATGTATTCAATATTAAAGTGATCTCATCATTTGGCAATTATGTTAAATGATATAACATTTTGAATATATTATTATTTATTATTCAAAATAGCCCTGGAATTTGAAATCATAACCTGTTGCTCATATTCATTGCAGTCCAAAATAATTTCACATGCTTAAAGTCTAGCGTGACCACCCCTCTACTACTCGACCCCCTGATTGTCCACACTGACTAGACAGAAAATAGTATGTTTTAAAAAGTTCACCCTTATGTCTGCTTAGTGACAACAGAGCTACTAATCGTAGCTTGTAAATTTAAAGCTTTTGTATAAATATAACAGTCCTGACTTGTTTGTGTTTATGAGGATCCCTGTGGCCCGATCTCACGCCGCATGTCTCTTTTCTCGCAGTTCTGTCGGGTGGACAGCACAGTCCTCTGCGGCGTTCGGTGTCTCTGACCCCTCCGATGAGCGGCGGATCTAACCAGCCTCTGGGGCACGGATGGCTCTCCCAGGAGGACCTGCGTCCCCGCGGGCCGGCCCACGACCACGCCCCCATCTCTCCTCAGAGCAGCGTGGCATCCTCGGGCAGCGGAGGCAGCGAGCACCTGGAGGAACACGTTGCTGTCCGAAGTACATTCCATGAGGAGGGCAGCGGGATGAGGGGTGAGCCACAGAATTGTTTATGTGCATTTGAAACTTGACCAAACAGGAGACAATTTTTTATGACAAGTAAACAGATCTTAAAAATAAATAATTGGTCTAATCAGTCATGATGAGCCCAGACCTGTAAAAACTAGGTCACTCACAAGAAATTTTATCCTGCATTGCTTTTCATCTGAAACTATGTGATGTCACTCTCAGATGTGCCGTCATGGCTGAAGAGTCTCCGTCTCCATAAGTACGCTGGGCTCTTCTCCACCATGACCTATGATGAGATGATGTCAATGACGGAGCAGAAGTTGGAAGCTCAGGTTGGTGTTTTGACCCTGTATGCGTTTCTTTGCTACGCTGCAAAAATGACTTTCCTGCTCAATATTTTTGTCTTGTATTCCAGTATGAATAATTGAACATATGTAAAATAAGATACATTTACTTTAAGATGTTTTTACAAACTGATGTAAGATAACAGGTCTTGTGTTTAGAGAAATCAACCACAATTTTCTGAGGTTTATGATTAAAAAAAATAGATGCAAATAGGGTAGGAAAAATACATTTGTTTTCCCTTTTGAATTATATTTATATATCTTATATATATATCCAAAAAATATCTTGGCCACAAATTAAAAAAATTTTAAAAACAGGTTTTTAAAAAAAAAAAAAAAAAAAAAAAAAATCATTTATTTTGTTCCCTCATTTTAGGTAAATTGTGACTATGATTTAATTCAATTAAAATGAGGGAACTGATTATTACAACCTGGCCGTGATTTAAATAATTTTTAATTCGCCTTATTGGAAAAGTTACACAGGCAAATTTATGGCAATTTTTATGTGTGAAATTTGGCTGTTGATTGTAGGGGAATCTTATATATTTTATCCATCATGTATGTACTGTACATATATAGATTGGTACATTTTATATGTTGTATAGTATGAGCATGTCAGCTTTTGTTTTAAATGTTGTTTTTCTCTGATATAGCAAGTCACCAAAGGGGCACGGCACAAGATCATCATCAGTATTCAGAAGCTGAAAGACAGACAAAACATGCTACGCTGTTTGGAGAAGGTCAGAACCTCTCTCTCCCCATGTCAGTTTATTCTGACTCATAGTCTTTGTTTTTGTGCACAGACCTATCAATCATAGTCTTTACATTTGCAGTCATTCATACTGTGGTTACTTTTTCACTGTTTCAGATTTGGGTTTGAACCTTTAACCTTTCAGTATCCAGCCTTGATCTTTAACTGCAGTTCCACGCTAAACCTCTGCCATTATCATTTTCACATGCACTTTTTATGTGTGTTAATTATTAAATGTCATCTAAGGACACGCTATTCGAAACAACAAGAGACAGGAAGGAGCCAGATGTCTAATTTCAGAGCAACCTTTTCATCAAGCTTTCCATCTCGATGCATTTGTAGCATCAGAAATAAGACACGTCCTCCTGATAGTTGGGTCCATTTAAAGTTTTAATGTCCCGCATGTGTCGGCCCTGTTAAGAGTCGCACCGTGTGACGGGGAAACAAACATGCTCGTATTTTTGGTAGACCTTCATTTTGTCCTCGCAAGTCATTTTCCGCCTCATTACATGTCTGAAATATCCCGACAGTTGACGTATTGAATTTATGGAAGTGTCCAAAATAATACTGCACCGCAACCTTGAATATAACAACTACGCATGCATCCACTCATTTGTCATCTCTCTCTCTTTCAGGATATTTTGGAGGGAGGGAATCTACGTGCTCCTTTGCAGGAGCTCCACCAGATCATCCAGACACCCATTAAAGCCTGCAGCACAGAGGAGTCTTCACAGCGCCACCTGCTGAGCGCAGAGGGGAAGAGCAGCATGGCCAGTTCCCACCTGGGCGGAGGAGAGACGGAGGGCAGCTCCACGGTCATAGCCGAGGGAGACATCCCTGCTCAATTCACTCGCGTCATGGGCAAAGGTTCACACGTAGTTCTTCCCGTAATCTGAGAATCATTTGAGGCTGTTAAGAATGTTTAGGTCATCAGGTTTAAGCCATTTCCAAACAACTTTATCTTACAGACAGAAAAATGGGTCAGAAGATGTCAGACAGAGATTATGTATTTTACTTCCCTCAACTCTTGTTGAGTTTTCCATAACCATAGCAGATTGAAAGTAATATAGTTTGGCCATTGTCTTAGAAGTTTTTTTTTTAATAAATGTGACTTTAACTCTTTCTTTCTGTTTTTGTGACAGTTTGCACACAGCTCCTTGTCTCCGGGTCAGATGAGGAGAACATTAGTTCCTACCTACAGCTTATTGATAAGTGCCTAATCCATGAGGTGAGTGTTCATGAAATCCAAATAGCCATTAATTAATTTATTAATACATGAAACTTCTTGGTCTTATTGTGGAAAATTCATCCGCTTTATATTATTCCCAATGGATTCAATCAAGTCCTTACTTGTTGAATATCCTGTTCCACTCAGAAAAATGTCACACAATGGAAGTAAAATAGTTAGTGAACCAGTGTTGTTATTTTTAAGCAAAACTATAACTATTAAAAATAGTTTTTCGGTAATTAAAGTAAAGCTGAAATACCTTAATCGAAAATTAGAAATGTTGCCTTGGCAACCAACTGAAATAAGTTCAAGTCAAAACATTAAAATGACTAAAACTAAAGCAGAGATAAAAATAAAGCTAAATAGAAATGTAAGCACAGAAAAATTACAAAACTGAAACTAAAATGAAAATAAAAATGGATAATATAAAAGTAAAATCTAACTCAAAATATTAATAAATACTATAATATTTTATATATGTATATTTACAGTCATCTTATCAGGAAGATTCCAGATTTTGAAGAGTGTATCAGATAAAAAAAAGATATTTCAGATTTTAGGGAGTATGCTAGCATTAGCATATAAATGATGCCAGCTAATAAATGTAGACTTAAATTCACTAAACATTAATTTTGATTTCATGATGTTTAAGCCATTTATTAGGTGCTTTTATCCAAATTAAGTTTCTCATGTGAGACTGTCGAGGTCAGCAGATGGTGAGCATACAGTTCCCTTTTCTGGTTTGTGTTATCCTTATTATTGAAACTTCTGAACAAATTACATGCTAAATTTTAGAATAAGCAGACATAGTCCCATTAGGCACGGATCAGTTATGAGGTGTAAAGTATGTTGAGCAGTGTTGAGCTGGAATGGAAATCCTGAGTCTCTCACTTCTCCCACCTCTCACAGGCCTTCACAGAGACGCAGAAGAAGAGGTTGTTGTCATGGAAACAGCAGGTGCAGGTGCAGTTCCGGTCAATTTCACGGAAAACTCTCCTTGACCTAACAGGACAGAGAAGAAGGTAAAGTGGATTTTGAAAGTAGGGATGTGACCGAATAGTGAATCCGTATTCGGAAAGGCACGGAAAACGAATGACGCATTCTATGGAATGTCGTATTTATTCCCTTTAGGTGTTCTGTAGTACATGTCATCTCCTTTGTCATTATTCGGATTCTGGCACATGCCTATTTGAAAGTCATGGTTAGAATCAAGGCACAATTTCACATTCTTGTTCTGTTGAGATTCTGTCCGTTTAGGTCCTATGATAAGGCCATGATACTGTAAATGTAATTCCAAAATTAACAATATTTTGAACACGTTGCTCTGACATATTTAAGCCCTTTGGGCTAATATTACTGAAGTTTTAACCTTCTTCATTTAAAAATACACATGCACATTTAAAAAAAAAATCCATTGTTATCCAAGATATTCTAATTGGAGTTAATTCCACATCATTCAAAACATGTTGAAAACATGCATGAAAAATACACACAAAAAAATGGTGCTTTTACATCTATCAAAGAATTTTAGCTTGTGAAAATCTATTGCATTTATTCATGTTTAAATGCCTCCCTGAGACACTATGGAGGACTTTTGAAACATGAAGTAGAAATTGTGTTTATTAATTTTTATCAAATTAAAACTACTTAAAGTATCAACCTGATATCAAACATTTCTTGTAAATAGTCATATTTTTCAAATTATTATATGACATTCTGGAATACTTGTAGCTGTGTATTAAGAGGGATCATGTACAGTCAGATAATCATTATTGCAAAATAAATTGCTTTTGTAATAATGGCATTTGACTGTACATTATCCTTCACATATTTATAAATGATTGAGTAAATTTCAGTGGAAGATATTCACCATGACAGCTGTCATCTGATTAACAGAGCAGTGTTTCCCGACAAAAACAGGTCTGTTGCTCAATTTGACCGAATTACATCATACAGTGGACTGAGGCAGGCATTAGCCAAGAACAGTCCTTTTGAGGTTTACTCTGTCAGATACATTGATTAATTTTTTGGATGGGCGTCTTTATTATTGCCATCTGTGTTTTTATTTATTGGACAAAGACTTTAATGATGTTCGGATACCACAGACCACACAGATGTGTTTAGGACCATGAGTCACGGTTTTCCGTCACTCCCTACTGGATTGCATCATGGTCTGAAAATAGAGCATATGATACTTAACAAGAATCTCTTATTTTATGCCACAGTATGAGGCATTACGGACCTCTACATCATTGGTTCTCAAACTTTGTAACTTTAAAGTCCCCCATTGTCAAAGTCAATACTAAAAGGCCCTCCTACATAGACTCTCATTTTTCCTCTTGTACTTCTGCCAAAATGATACCAAAAGCTGGAGTTTGTTTTCAAACTAGGCCTGTCAAGATTTTTAAGTAACTTAAAGAAACAAAATTTGTAAAGGAAACATAATATGAATAAATGTCTTGGAAAGAAATATACTAAATATATCTACACACAGACACACACACACACACACACACACACATATATATATATATATATATATATA